AGTGATGACTAGGGAGTCAAACAGACAAAGTGAGGGCGGGGGACAGGATCTAATATCTTCTTCAAAGAGTTAACATCCTTCCTCTAAGTTTCATCTCTGAAATGCCCCCTTCCCCAACACACACCATCACCACCTACTTGGTAGTACTGCAGGCTAGATACCAAACTTTTAACAAATGGCCTTTGGAGGGCGTTTAAGATCCCAAACATAACATCTCCTAAGAGGCAAAGCCAAATGATGTCAGGGCTTCTATTGGGCAGTGTAAAATAGTTATATTCAACTAGGTCATCCCTTCAAGAGTATAGGCCACTCACTGGCCTCTTCTAGACTTTCTCTCTTTTTAAAATCCAGAAAACATTGTGATTAGAGTAGATGGTCACAAAAGTTTCTGTGGTTCTCAATATAATGGACTTTCTTCTAGCTTTACAATTGGAACAACTCTCTTCTGCTCGGTTTGGTCACAGCCTTCCATCAAGATGATATGAAAGGAGCAATGACCTGCAGCTTTTAGTAAGACTTAGTGTGTTCTTAAGACAAATGACAGTAGTCTGGCTCCCTTTGAGAAAGCCCTCTTCTGTTTATATACAGAGCTTAGTGTCTGAGGCTGACTGTCTTTAGATGGCCGGTGGATGGCAGTGTCTATATCTAAGACTCACAGCTATGAATGTGATCTTGTTCCATTGTGGAATTTATTTGATTCAAAATTAAAATGAAACTGGGGGAGGGGGTTCTGGTCATCTTTCTATAGGTTCCTCTTAATGATAAAATAAGTATTCTGTTCATTATTTGTTTATTGAATTTTCCAAGGCAGGCATGAGGATCTTTGGAGAAGTTTTTCTGTCTCGAAGGTTTTTTTTTTTTTTTTTTTTTGTTTTTGTTGTTTTGTTTTGTTTTGTTTTTTCCTGTGTTGCTCCTCTGTCCTAAAGCTCTACCATAGAGAAAAGCATGAGCATGGCTTAGTGTCTTTATAGTCTGTTTTTACTTTAAAACACTTAGGCTTTCCACTTACACTGGAAGTCAAAATCTAGTAGGTAACCTTGAGAAACTTACTTGTTCCTCAGTTTTCTAACCTATAAAACACAAGTACACCTTCTTTTGATGGTGACATGCTTTAGGTGCAATTTCATAAGGAAGCATCTAGCATGGCACTTGGCACAGGCCAAGAATGTGATAAAGTTGCTTATTTCATCCCATCTCCACACCTTCGTGGGAAAGAATTACAGAAACCATGAAAGAATATCACACTTCGGTTTGCAATTGTGATGCTGAATCTTTATCCCTCCGTGAATTGTTTAGGTTCTATAATACTCGGGTTATGAATAAAGGGGTTTGTATTGCATGCATAAACATTTAAAGGACAGCCTGGCATGCTGCGATGTCATTCTGCTTGTGTTGTGGCTACTACTGCATAGGATGAGGCAAGTATCAGGGTCTTACAGTGGTTTTGTTGTTGTTGTTTTGTTTTGTTTTTCTTTTCTTTTTGGTTTGTCAAGACAGGGTTTCTCTGTGGCTTTGGAACCTGTCCTGGAACTCAATCTGTAGACCAGGCTGACCTCAAACTCACAGAGATCCACCTGCCTCTGCCTCCTGAATGCTGGGATTAATGCCGTGTGCCACCACTCTCCAGCTCCTATTGCACATCTTATTATCCAGTGGGCAGGATTCTGATATAGGCATCTTAACCACAGGTTCTTACCCTGGGGAGGTCACCATTCCTTAGGGTGACTCAGCCACCACAACCTTAAAAACAGCACATCACTTGCTAAAGGCATACTTCCTAGTCTTAAGCTTGCCAGTGGTTTGTTGTGTTTTGCTAAATTGTTCTATTACCAAGTAAAAACTTGAGAATCAGATACTGGAGTAAAAACCTTATAGACCAAAGCAGCAGAGAGGGAGGGACCAGCTGACCCTCTTTCTTACCCAGCCAGTGTCTCTTCTCTCCCCAGATCAAAGAGGCGCATGTGAATTCCAAGTCCTTCCCTTCTCTTTATTGTCATCTTCTCTGTCCATATTTCAGGCTTCTCTATGGCTAATTCCTGTCAGTTAGCAACAGTGGTTTGTAAACTACTGCCCGAGAGCCACATCTGGCCTGTCTCTTTTGGGGTACACCTGAAAGCTAAGGATGGTATTTTCATCTTAAATGACAGAGGAAACATTGTTCTGATAGTCAACAATTGTATTAAATTCAACTTTGTGGTTATGAATCAAGTTGCTCTGGAATACAACCACACTGTTAACTTACACTCTATCCTCAGACACTACTAGGTTATAAGAGCCACATGCTACTGGGAGCATGTGATGGGGAAGTATTTACTATCAGGACATTTTCTTCCCCTTGAGGCAGAGCCAGAGTATGCAGCACCACAGGCCAGATCTGAGTTCATTTCCTCCTTTCCCTCCCTTGGTTTCCATCAGTTTCTCAACTGTGTAATAAAAACACCTATCTCTCAGGAATTTATATCAGTAAAATGCTTTGAAAGCCTGACACTCACTAATTACTTTCTTTATATATGTTAATCTTTGTTGTCATTATTAGTTGCTACATTTTTTTTCCTGAACACAAAGCAGCAAGCAGGCACTTACTAATTTGTTGGCAATCATTGTCAGAATTTCATTTAAGTACTCCATTAAAGTTCACTTCTTAAGGGGAAAGGAGCAAGACTCTAGATTCCTAATGTAACAATTAGCATAGTCACTTGTCCATAAAACTAATCCTTTATCAGTTACAAACATTTTATTAGGGACACATTGTTTGTTTGCTTTCTTTTCAAACTTGAGTCCTGAAAAAGCTTAAACTCAAACAGCCCTGATCATCTCAGTGAGTAAAGTTTCGAAACACAGGACTTCTAATCCACCTGGACTGACAGTAATTTTATCTCCAGAATCAAACACGAGGAAAGCCACACACACACGTCATGTTTTTGTTATGTGGCAATAAGGACTATTAGAATTTTTCTCACTATTCAGAACTTCTGTTTTTGGAGTTCATGTATCCAAAAAGGGGACTCGAGAGAAGTGCTGATGAGTCAGTGGTTCAAGCCATGGTCTCACACTGGTCAGTCCTGTCCTTTAAAGTGTCTCAAAATGGTACAATCACAAAAGCAGGCAGGCATGATGACTCAGCGGGAGGCTGAGGCCACAAGTTCTGGGCTAAACCTAGAGCCTGGTCCACAGAGGCAAACAATAAGAACAACAGAAACCCACTGTCCAGTCCTAACAGTCAGGGGTGAGCCAACATTTTTCCTCTTATTTCAATTATACTAAAAAGCGAAAACGAAAACCGAAACGCTTTCTGAACAACCCAAGTGAGTTACACATCCTTTCCAGTAATAATCACCAGAAGTTGTTTCTAGTTGAATCATCCAGAAAAATACATCAATTTTTCTACGAATGATCTGGGTGAGGCTGTCCTGCCCAGAAAATGTCCCCTTCGCCTACCCCACTCCACCCACTTAGCAATCGCACCAGCAACACCCAGCTTAACAGTTGGCAAAGAAACATGCCTCCCTCATTCAAAGCTAACCGCCCCCCCCCCCAGTGCTGAAGTTTTCATCCTGTTTTCAAAGGTGTTTTTCTATTTTGATTTTGAAGTGTCTCCTTCACCCTTGCAGTTGCTCTTCAACCTCTCCCTAACAATAGTGCACAGCGCTCTTACACCACCTTCCCAATCCGACAACAATGTAAAATAATAAATGTACCACAAAATAGCACAGTAGGAAGAAGGAAAAAAAAAAAAAAAAATCCCGGGGCGGTGCGTGGATGTCGGAATGTGCCACTAGGCCGGGAGGGAGAACGGGTGCTGGCATGAACTCTGTCTGGGGCCCTGGGACACCGCCCGACAGGGTCGCGCGGGGCGCTGGTACAGCACGGAGGTCGCAGAGAGCGGGCAGCGCGCGTGGTGGCGCGGGGCGGTCACGGATGGGTGGCTGCGGCGGGCGCCGCCCCCGTGTGGGGCGGTGTGGTGACGCTCCAGGGCGGCTCCGGGCGGGCTGGAGGGCGGAGTAGCCGACGTGCAGGGCAGAGGCGCAGTCTGCACCATGGCGTATCCCGGGCACCCTGGCGCCGGCGGCGGGTACTACCCAGGCGGGGTAAGTGCAGAGCTCGGCAACCGCAGCCTCGCTGCTCCCGGGGGCGAGAGGGCGCCACGGACGCGCGGGAGGAGGCGCTGCGAGCTGATCCCCGGTCTAGATGCTCCCCCCGCGCGCTCGCCCAGTCCCTGACGTCCAGACTCGGCCCCGCTCCATTCTTCCACCCCCTGTCTTCCTAGGGGCTCCCCCGGGGCCAAGGGGTGTGTGGGCTGCGACCAGGGAAGCCCACTCGGTGATTCGGAAATGTGGCGCGTGATACAGTGCAGGCTGTGTTCACTTCCTGCTCTAGAATGCCCCCAAAGCAACAACAGCCATCTTGATCTGGAATGGTCCAGTGGTCACTCTCTTGAAAAGAAAGTGACAGGGGAGACCAGAAAGTCTGGAGAAATGAGCTAGGGTCCGAGAGGAAGGCCACCTCGCCAGATGTTAGGGGTGTACTGTCAGGGACTAAAGGACCCTCGTCTGAGATACAGCGGGGCCATCCCCCTTCTTCCCTGAACACACCTGTCACCAACCTCACCTAGTACTTCTGGCGCTTTTTAAAAACTTCGTAAAAGCAGTTTAAAGCAACAGGAAAATAGTCGCGAGCCATGCTGCTAAATCGCTTGCTTCGGTTACATTCGCCTCTGCAAGCCCCTATTTAATAGAGATTTTTAAGTGACTTCACATATTGTGGCATCACTTTCGTGGACACTTATTTTGGATCAAATCGCCAGCGTTTGAATGTCGATGGAGCGAGAGTGGAAGAGCAGTGTGGGTCGCTGCCCTTGTGTGTGAGGTCGTGGGGAGGGAGATGCTATGAAGGGCAGGTAGGCAGCAGTCGTAGTTGTCTCTGCTTTGCGCCAAAGCCTTGCCTGTGTAAGAACAAACCGTTCTGATGCTTCTGCTCTTCCTTCTAGCAGTATGGAGGGAGCTCCCGGAGGGCCTGCATTTCCTGGACAAACTCAGGATCCGCTCTATGGTTACTTCGCTGCTGTGGCTGGACAGGTTAGCCCTTTCTTTCTGTGTAATACTGAAGAATCGTTCTGTTTGTGTTATCATTTAGTGCAGTGGCAGCTAAACGAACTTTTGCCCTGGAACTGAGTCTCTTTGCCTAGGCAAAAGAAGAAAAAAGGAACGGAAAAACTAAAACATTTTTTTTTTTTTTTGTCCTGAGCAAAGTTGAACAGAGAATACCACTAGATCAGTTCAAAACTTGTGATTGAACTAGGGGTTCGATTGAACCAAAAGGGGGATTATAAATATACTTTGAAGGTCTGTGAAGTAGAAAGATACCTTTAGAACTGTCTTGTCAGGTTAGAGCAAGGATTACTTACAGAGAAGAAATTCAAGTTCTAAACATAAAACCTCTGTTTGTCCAACTTAAAGGCATGTATTAGTAATTCTGTAGCCCAATTATGATAAACACCTACTATCAAATTCAGTTGAATTTGATAATTAATCATTTATTCCCTTAGGAGGTAGAGAAGAGCTGAAAAGAACCGCCAGCATCCAGGCAGGAGAATTACTATCTGTGTTTGGGAGGCTGACCTCTATCCCTGCTGTAGATGCTAGCTTTTCTATGTCCTTATTAGGTTTTATGGCCTACTGACCCTGAGAAAGAATTCAGATCACACAGTGACAAGTCCTAAGTCCCACTTCCCTCCCTTAGAGTTGTGGTGGACAATCTATGGCAGCTGGGAGGAAGGACACGTGTCATGCTTGCAAGGTCACTCTGTGTTTGGTAAATGTACTGTTGACGTAACCCATATCCAGAGGGGGATGTTTATCCCTGCTTATTCACCTTAGACTTGTTTTAACAACAAGAGCCAGAAAGAAGGAAATCAGGATTTGGAAGGAAGGAAGGAAGGAAGGAAGGAAGGAAGGAAGGAAGGAAGGAAGTTAGGAAAGAGAAAAAAAGATAATGAATATGCCAAGCAAACCCCCCCCCAGGTTACCTTTGGAGGTGGTACTCTAAGAAACACAGCATTGAGAATTTGAATGGAAAATTGAGTCGAAGACTGGGAGACTTTCCTCTCAAGTATCTACTTAATCTGTTATTGATCCGTGTCTTTGAAACCGCAAGACACAGCACACCTCAAGACTAGCATTCTTAGATTGCTGGTATCTCTGGCATGTAAGTGACCCGTCTGCTTGGCTTTCAGCAGCCCTGGCCTCTATTCCACACATTCATCATTAATAATTTCAAATTATTGCTCCTTATTTATAACAGTGGATCTCAGCAACTTGGATTTATGTATTTAAAATCCCAGAGAGAGAGAGAGAGAGACCTAGTTTTGATGTCACTCGGCCAATAAGAAGGTCTGGGAACCTACCATGTACCTTCTACATTTAATTGTGCTCAGAAAATAGTGTCCTAAGTCATAAGTACAAACAAGAGCCTCTTGCCCCTTGGACCAGGTCTTGTATTTATTGATGCCTGAAAGGTCGGCTGTACATCTTACTTTTTTTTTTTCTCTCTCTCTCAAAATGGGATTGAGGGATATGTTTTTAAACAATACCAAAGCTAATTGTTTTTTTTTTTTTTTTAATGATTAGTTTTGACAGTTTCTTGGCTCAAACTGAGTGGAGACTGTTTGACATAACAAATATTCTCTCATCAAATTCTTTTTGGAATTAGGATAAGAAGAGTACCCAATTTTGAAAGGCATTCCTCTAAAAAATGTTAGATATAATCACTTTCTCTTGTCATTGTCACTTAAGAACTTGAAAGCACAGATCACCGTCATGATTCCTCTTCCTGTGTTTTGTTTGTTGGATTGTTTTATAAGGATGGACAAATTGATGCTGATGAGTTGCAGAGGTGTCTAACACAGTCTGGCATTGCTGGAGGATATAAACGTAAGTTCATGCTCTTAGATTCTAATAACCCCCTTGTTCTCTGTACTTCAGCTGTTAACTGTGATTGTACCTATAAAGACAGCAGACTTTTCTGATCCACTAAGCTGTTGTTTTTATGTTAATTGAGCATAGTTTCTAATCACCAGTCTATGAGACAGGTTAGAGGATTTCTTGGACATGGGTTCCCTGTGAGACACTTTGGGTGGCCACCAAACAGAGGACAAGTTAAGGTGTTGAAATGGCATCCTCCAGGTCAGGTATCATTAATGAGTGCTAGCACGTACCACTGACCATTTGCCAAGTGTTATCCTCTATCTTAACTCTGGTGGCCTTGAGACATGGCCAGTCCTGCAGTCTGATCTCTGGGCCCTGGGCTTGCTACTTGGCAATGCAAACACTTGTTGGCCATGATATCCCCCTAGGTCATTCTTCCCTCCAGCCGAGAAGATGTGTTCATGCTGAGGGCAGTAAAGACAGAACACCCACTCTGCTTTCACCTCATGCTAGCCTTTCTGCCCCCTCCTCAGTTCTTTGCCAGCCAGGTGTGCAGCACTATTGTCCAGCACGAGTCCTGCTTTCCCCCTGTCTTTTCAGTACTGTGCTCCAAGCCGAAAGGAGAATTAAACGTTGCAAAGCCCGGCATCATCTCATATACTCTGCTTAAAAAAAAAAAAAACCTAGCCTTGACCAGGAGAAGTGTCTAGCTATCTTCTAACTTCTTTCCATCTGTTAACTGAGTCATGACTTGAGACTAACACCCTCCACTTCAAAGTGAGCATTGAGGTATAAAGTGTTCCAGCTGGACCTCATGCCTAAGCACTTGCAGTGGCATTTGCAACTGTTTGAGGTACTGTATTCTGTAGATGGCCATGCTTTAAAACACCTGTTTCTGTTGTTACCACATCTTGTGTAACCTCAGTGTCCTATTTATATTTCCTAGTTGGGGAAATTAATTCAAAACAGAAATTTCAAATTTCTGTTGTTTTAATTTTGTCCTAAACAAGAGAAGCACTTTCTAGGTGGGGGACTGAACAGTGGCAATTATGTTTAAATTGTTAATTTTTTAACCTCAGGCAGTTGAGGTAAACATGGAAGATTTAATGGCATTTGCCCAGTCTGTGCCTTACTAGTCAGGAGGAGAGATGCACCAGACTTTAAGAGACCAAAGAGCACTACATAGCCTAGAAGCAGGTTCTTTAAGACTTCTGTTTTGAGTGCTGATGAGATGATCCAGTTAGCTTTTGCCTCCAAGACTGATGACCCGAGTTCAAACCCTGGTTCTGCACCAACACCTGAAAGTTGTCCTCTGATTCCCCACCTCTCTCTCTCTCTCTCTCTCTCTCTCTCTCTCTCTCTCTCTCTCTCTCTCTCTCTCTCCACACACACACACACACACACACACACACACACACACACACACACACCAAATAAAGATATGTAATAGCGAACTTTAAAAATTTTGCTTGAAAGTCACTTTTGGGATGTCCTTAGACCAATGCATTGTAAGAAGCCATTTCCTAAAACACAGGGACCATGTGATCTAGTTTATTAGCCTAGTTCCTTCCTAGTAGCCATGATGCGCCACCCAATTTCTGGGCTGCTAAGAGTTCTACAGTACAGTAACCATAAAGCCATCACCCTCTTCAAACCCAGATTCCAAGCCATAGTCCACAGACCTGGAGTCGAAGGGGGGCCTGTGGGATACTCCAGCCAAGAAGCAGTAGCCCCTAGAGAGGTACTTGATGGGGAATGTTCCAATCTCCACAGGAGAAGTTCTACTTCTCCTTTACTTGAATTTGGTGGTTCCTCTACAAGAAGCTGGGCAGAAGCAGGTAGGGGCAGGCTTCCCTTCCTTTCTAGAGCTGGTGCATTGTTTCTGCTGGATGAAAGGATGTCTGAGGCAATGCAGTAGTGCAAACGGAAGCAGCAGCAGGTGGGAAGCTGCCACATGGATGGCTTTGAAATTATATTGAAGATTGACATTAATAAAAGCTGTTTCTGGGTGAAACTGAGTGAAGCCTATCTGGATGTCTGTGCTCTGGCTTTATTTCACTCTGTGTCTCCCAGTGTGCAGACCCTTCATCTGTCAATTGCTTGTTGGTTGGCCATTGGCTAACACGTTGGAAAAACTTCAGAAGAAAGAAATTGGGTGAACATGATAATCTGTGCCTACAGTCTGCTCATTTGGGAGGTGGAGGTAGAAAGGGCTGGGATTTAAGGTCATCATCTACATAGAGGTGAAGGCAGCCTGGGCTACATGAAACTCTCAAAAAGCCAAATAAGTAAATCAAATAAAATGAGGAAACCATTGTCCTATAACCATATTGGTATTTTATTTAAGATATACAACATGAAGACGGTGTTCAGGAACATGGGCTCAGGTTAACTTGAATGCCATGTTCCACTAGGAAAGATGTCACATGGACTTGTATAGTCAAGACTTAATAGGAAGTCATGAATCAAGACATTTTCCATTTCCGTTGGTGGGAAGATCTGGTACACTAACTACAGCAAAACAGGGACCCCCAGCTTTCAGTTATTCGAACATTCATGGCTGTAGGACTGGTAGATGCTAGAGACCTGTGACGTGTAGTAATATTCTTTAAGGAGTATTTCTGCTAAGTAGGATGACATTGGATCAGATCCAGAAGTTAGGGTAATTGGCTAGTAAAGGCCAAGAAACCCAAGATAATTCTAGCTTGTGAATTATAGCAGCCTGTCTACACAGTGTTCTGCTTAGCCAAGATTAGCAGTTTGCAGGACTTTAGTACAGGTTCTTCAGATCCAGATCTTAGGGATTGGGAAGTGGCTTAATAAAATTGAATCAGCTAAATCTGTTAAGGAGTGCTACAGCTTAAAGAAATGACTGCACTGGGAGTACAGTGGGACTGCCAGGTGATCCTAATCCTATGTACCAGTTGTGCATGCTGGGGAAGGGGTTTGGGGTTCCTATGGGTATCTCCCTAACATGGGCAGGTACATGAAGTAAATATTTTGAAACTGGGCCATGTTTGCCTCACGGTTCCACAAAATTGGTATAAGCCAAACACCACCAAATGGTGAATGAATAGCGTGCAAAATGAGTAGCATGTTTTAAAATTCATAATTAATTTGATTGATTCCAATGTGATATGAAATTTTGAAATTACATTTATTCATGTACTTTCTTTGATTTAACAGCTTTTAATCTAGAGACTTGTCGCCTTATGGTTTCAATGTTGGACGTATCCTTTGCCTTGATGGTTGTCTAGAGTTTTTCTCCTCCAGCAAAAAGAAAAAAATATCTTTCTAAGACATTTCATCTCAGGGTGAATAACAAGTAAATACAAAATAATAAGCAACCACCAAAAAAGCTTGATGAAATAACTCGCCATTAGGATGCAATTTGGTGTGAAAAACAGGCAGGAAGGAAGTTCTGTTCAAGATCGCACAAGGAGCCAGAGGTGTGGTGGCTCATGCCTGTAATCACAGCACTCAGGATGTTAGGGCAGGAGGATCACTGTGAGTTTGAGGACAGCATGGGCTATACTGTGAGTTGGGGTTAGCCTGAGCTGCAGAGATCCTTTCTCAAGAGAGGGTGGGGAGTGTGTATTAGAGTTAGTTCAGTAAGGCATCAAAGTAGAGAAGAATGCCAGCCAGTCCCTCCTCTCAGCTTGGCTCTTTCTTTCTTTCTTCCTTTCTATCTTTCTTTCCCCATGTTAAGATGGGGTGCTGTGTTGGCAATAGTATATATTATTTCACAACAAATTACACTATGATTTTTCTCTTTTTTTCCTTTTTTTATTTAAATTTAAAACAAAATTGTTTTCCATGTCAATCCCAGTTCTGTCACCCTTCCATACTCCCCTATCACCCCCCACTAAACCCCAGCCCACCCCCTTTCTGCTCCCTAGGGAGGGTGGGGCCTTCCATGGGGGATCTTCAAAGTCTGTCATAGCATTTGGGGCAGGACCTAGGCCCTCCCCCATGTGTTTAGGCTAAGAGAGTATCCCTCTATGTGGGATGGGCTCCCCCAAAGTCCATTCGTGTACTAGGGATAAATACTGATCCACTACCAGAGGCCTCATAGACTTCCCAGTCCTCCTAACTGACACCCACATTCAGGGGGTCTGTCAGTCCTACGCTGGTTTCCCAGCTATCAGACTGGGGTGCATGAGCTCCCCCACGTTCAGGTTTCTCCCAGCCTGGTCTTCGACCCCTTTACTTATCGCTCCTCCCTCTCTGTAACTGGATTCCAGGAGTTCGCCTCAGTGTTTAGCTGTGGGTGTCTGCTTCTGCTTCCATCAGCTACAGGATGAAGGCTCTAGAATGGTATATAAGGTAGTCATCAATCTCATTATAGGGGAAGGGCATTTAAGATAGCCTCTCCACTATTGCTTAGATTGTTAGTTGGGTTCATCCTTGTAGATCTCTGGATATTTAGGTGAAAAAACCCAACTCAAAGGTGCAAAAAAATATATTCAACAAAATCATGGAAGAAAATTTTCCCAATCTAAAGAAAGACATGCCAATGAAAATACAAGAAGCTTACAGAACACCAAATAGAGTGGACCAGAAAGGAAAGTCCTCTAGCCACATAATAATCAACTTACTTTCTACAGCTGAAATCCTTGGTTCTGACAACTTGGACTATCAGAATCCATGACCTGAGCACCCAGAAAGCATGCCCAATTCCAGTAAGAAAACTGCTTTTTACTTGGCTGGAAGTGCCGTATCATCACATGCTCAGAGTAAAGCCATGGGCCATTTATTACATCATTTATCATTAATGTTTTTTATCAAAGCAGCAAGAACATAGAATAGCTTTTTAAAAATTTGGGGTGCCATTTTGTCATTTTTAACGGAAGGAACATTGATTTCCCCCTTACCCTTCCTCAATCTCTTGTGAAATCTTTAAGCTGTGAAATAAGACAGTTCGGGTCCTTGATTATACTCCAGAGAGATATGTCTGGCACCATGGGATTCAATGAATTTAAAAGAGCTCTGGGCGGTGCTGGAATGGCTGGAGACAACACTTCATCAGTTTTGACAGCGATAGAAGTGGAACAGTGGATCCCCAGGAGCTGCAGAAAGCCCTGATAACAATGGGTTCGCGTATTACCAGCTAGAGTTCTCCATTACCCTACTAAACGTGTTTTGTTTGTCCCTAAAGCCTGTGCTATTGAAGACAGTTTCTTTACTTCAGTTGTTTATTTTATTATTATTTTTTTTTTTTTGAAGTTTGATACTGTTTTGTTTGGGGTTTGTTGTTGTTTTCTTGTTTTCACAAGCCTTCAACCTTTCTCTGCTGGGTGGTGTTTTTTTCTGCCTTCCAGGATTCAGATTGAACCCCCAAACTGTGAATTCAATTGCAAAGCGATACAGCACCAGTGGGAAGATCACCTTTGATGACTACATTGCCTGCTGTGTCAAACTGAGGGCTCTTACAGGTGTGTCCCTGAAACCTTTCAGCCTGACTAGCCTAGGAAATTCTTTTTATGACATTTCTCATTTCTCCATGCCTCTGAACTTCCATTCTCCCCAGTTCTTTTTATGGTTTTAGGGGGTGCATTAGTAGACCCTTAATACAGCTCTTAAGCAAATGAAGCATAATACACAATTCAGACGTTTTTTTCAGATGAATGAGTAATTGAAGTACATGTGATTAAAATGCTGCAGATATAATTGTCTATATTTTAAATGTGTTCGTGGTGCTATGATCACAGACTGCTCACACATGCTAGTTAAACCCTGGACCATGTTGCTACACCCACAGCCCTAATTTTTGCAATTGCAATCACAGAGTGCAGTTATGAGTCATTCTCTTCAACTGTGAAATGTTTGAAAAGAGTAAGGGAAGTTAATCATTTTTGATTGGTCAGTGGGATTAAAATGAGTGGGATATTTGGTCACAGCCCGTTTGCATAGGTAGGGACTTGAATCCATCTGTCTCCTTGCTTAAGCAGCATTTGTTTTACTATGGTATTTATAACCTATGCTTTCACTGAAGTTAAGGACCTTGAAAGTTGAAATATTCCTACTGAGACCAGTCAGTTTTCTCAGATCCATGGCCATGAGACACTTCTGCCCAGGATGTCACTGCTATGTATTAGTTCGTATGACTATTTTTCTATGGCCTTATGTTGTCTGTTTGTGGGATTTAAGTGTTAAAAAAAAAAAAGAATGTAAGTGTTATTGGAGTTTGATTCCAATATCAAATAGTTAGCAGTTGTGATTTTTGAAAAACCATTAAAAGAAAAAACTACATTTTACTGTGTTGTTTTGCAGATAGCTTTGAAGACGGGACTCTGGTCAACAAGGAATGGAATTTCTCATATGATGATGTAAGCTTCGGCCAACAAGAGCTAAGTGAAGATACTACTGTACATAAAGTGGGATTCTTTTTAGAAGCTATCTATTAAGAATAGGACATAATGGTCATGCTGCACTCAAGAGAGTAGAGGCAGGTGGATTGCCGTGAGTTCAGATGCCAGCCCCGAGCTATGCTTGTGAGACTCTAACTTCAAACAAACAAACAGAAAACATGGCAGGACATTGAGGTTCATGCCTGTGATCCCAAAACTTCTGAGGATGAGGCAGGGCGTATTACTTCAGATTCTAGCCGGGCCTGTTGCTTTTATTGACTGGGTTATATAAGTAGATTTCCCTATTTGCTCTGACTGAGTGACACAGGTATCCATAGTAACGATACCCTCTTTCCAGGCTGGGATGTGATAGTGTGGTTAGCAGAATCCCCCAGAACCCATGTGCAAAACGCTGGTAATCCCAGTACCAGGAGGTAGAGACAGTTAGATCCAGTGCTTACTAATGTTCCAGCCAAACCTGCTTAGTGAGTTTGGAGGCCAGTGAGAATCACTCTGAAAAGGTGGACAGCATCTGAGGCATGGCACTTGAGGTTGCTTCTTAGCCTCTACATACATATGCATCCCGACACACAAGCATACGCCCATACACATACATATACGAAGTGACAATCAAGGCCTTTCAATGGCCAAGTTGGACAGGTTTCAGTCAGCTGTGTCCTGAATGTCCTGGGATACAGACATGTCATCTGCTCTCACCTTGTATAAAATACATCATGGACAGGTAGCTTACATTATAGCTGTGCTTTGCACACCTGTGCAATGTTCCTTGAGAACGTAAGGCAGGTGCCAACTGAAAGCTTTGTTTAAAGAAAGCTGTTTACGGCCATTAGCTGGGGAGGGAGAAAAGGTAAGATTTGGGCACCAGAGGGGACCACTATAAAGAGGTTTCTAAGTGTTCCTTTTCTCTCAAAAAGGAATCATCGAGTTGGCTTAGCAGAATTGTTGCAGGAATTAGTACTGGGGCTCCTTACCAGTGTTGGAGTATAAACTTAGGGACAGAGTCTTG